CACGTTCTAATACACGTCAGCTGGTGGGTCTAATATACATTCACAAATATGGTGATGATATTTATACAATTATTACAGTATTGCATAACAGTAAATCTTCTATTTTTTGGTGTGAATAAAATTCATTATGTGAATAAAAAATCAAAATGGAATTATTTGTAAAGCCAAAACATAACTAATGAACAGAGGAAATGTTAGTTTAGTGCCAGGAATGCCTACATTGTTTTATTCTGGACCCTATTTTGAAATTGGAATATTTTGAACTTTGTGTTAAATTGGCCAAATTAACAATTTCCGATCACTTTATTTTGTAGTTGAAACAGTTGACTTGGCGATTTCTTGTGCTCAATCGATAGAATAGAAGTAATACTAGTGAAATAGCTAAGAATTTGGTTGATTGGAATAATGTAATTGGCCTAAAATGGGAGTCAAAGTCGGCAAAATCGCCAATTCGTAAATATCGCTGACACATCAAAATTCGCGAGAGCATAATTTCGTCAATTTTCCACCAAATTTCGTACTTTTTGTTTTATTACCTTCACAAAAAGATTCTCTACGATTTCATGAGAAAAAATAACAAATTTTTTTTTTGAAAATTCTTTGACACTGGTGTGTGACTCCAGATTTGGGCCTTGGACCCTGAAAGGTTTAATAAAACGTGTCATTCTTTTTATTTAAAATATGTTTGGACAGTAAAAATAAAACAAGTATGAGGTAGCAAATAAAACTTACACCTGTGGTACAAGTTATGGTACTAACATGATAGCATCAGCAGGCTAGTGGTGTCATTTCCCTCCTTTGGCAATGTGCCATGGCCTTATTTTCACCTCTGCCATGTATCACCAGTTTTTAGACTTGGCATAAAATGGTGACCTATATGCCAATATATACAGTACAGAAGGACCCTCTTTTCAGTGTTTCACATTTCCGTTGATTTTCATCTGAGCCACTGTTCATTATGTTCGGTGCTTTTACCATTTCTGTACAGCAGTTGCGTAAGGGAAGGGCAACCGGCACCATATTTTAAAGTAACTATTACATGTACAGTAGAACCCCGAGTTTCGGCCATTTCAAGTTTCGACCACTTTTTTCGGCTAAATTTTGTCCCAAGTTTCGGACTGTGTCCCGTGTTTAGGCCAGCTTACCAGACCTGTCCGCCTGCCCGCGCAGGCATTGTGAGCCAGTCTAGCTTAGTTTATCCTTGAGTGAACATTACCCTGCATGCTCATCCAAACATTTTACAATAAATTCATTGTATTTAGTGCTTGTTTATTGATTGTGACTGCGAAATAAGTCACCATGAGCCCAAAGAAACTTCCTAGTAGCACCCCTTTGATAAAGAAAATGAGAAACACCTTAGAAGTGAAGAAAGAAATTGTACAAAAATACAAGGCAGTGGTTGAGGCAATAATAAGTCCTCCCTCTCAGGCTCCCTCCTCACCAGGCTCTGGTGGCCTGGTGGTTAACGCTCTGGCTTCACACGGTGAGGGCCTGGGTTCGATTCCCAGCCAGAGTAGAAACATTGGACGTGTTTCTTTCCACCTGTTGTCAATGTTCCCCATCAGTAAAATGGGTACCTGGGTGTTAGTCGACTGGTGTGGGTCGCATCCTGGGACACTGACCTGAGGAGGCCTGGTCACAGACCGGGCCGCGGGGGCGTTGACCCCCGGAACTCTCTCCAGATAAACTCTCCTCCCTATCTTCCAGATGCCAACAAGTCTTCAATAAAGATACATAAATGTGATTTTTAAATGTTTCAATGTTTTTTAATTTCATTACTCATTTAAGTACTATATGTATTTATCTTTAAAAAATGTATTTTTTTGTGAATATTTTTGTGGGTCTGGAACAGATTCATTGGATTTACATTATTTCTTATGGGAAATATTGCTTCGACTTTAGGCCTAGCTCCTGGAACGGGTTACAGCCGAAACTCAGGGTTCCACTGTACTGTGTGATTACTCTGCTTTTTAATTTGTTTTTCATGCCTAGCTGAAATGAGCATTTAATATATGATATTGTAAATATGTCATTGGGCATTTCAGATATATTCATTAACCCTTTGACTGTTTTCGACGTATAAATACGTCTTACGAGCCAATGTTTCTGACGTATATATACTCAATAATTCTAGCGGCTTCAAATCAAGCGGGAGAAAGCTGGTAGGCCCACATGTGAGAGAATGGGTCTGTGTGGTCAGTGTGCACCACATAAAAAAAATCCTGCAGCACACATTGTGTAATGAGAAAAAAAAAAACTGATCGTTTTTTTGGAATAAAACGCCGACTTTGAGGTGTATTTTCGTATAGTATTTATCGTTGTATTCGCGTTTTCATGGTCTTAGGTGATAAAATGGAAAACATATTACAGAAATAGAGATCATTTTCATTACTTTTACGATGAAAACGACCTTGAAACTGAGCTCAAAGTAGCGGAAATGTTTGATTTTTACCAATGTTCAAGAGTAAATAAATCACACCACACGTCCAGTACACATCAACTGGGGAGTCTAATATTCTTTCACTAGTGCACTGATATTATTTATACCATTTTTACAATAATGCAGTCGTCTGCATAACAGTAAATTTTGTATTTTTTTGTATGAATAAAAAATAAAAATAGAAAGCAATAATAATATAAGAGGGGCCTAGAGATGTGACTAATGAACAGAGCATATGTTATTTTAGTGCCACGAATGTCTACCTTGTTTCTTCTGGACCCTATTTTGAAATTGGCATCTTTTTTAGTTTGCGTGAAATTGGCCAAATTGCCAATTTCTGACCACCATATTGGGTAGTCCAAATTAGTAAATGGGAGGTTTCTTGTACTCAGTTGATAGATAAAATGGAGTTCTAAAGAAATAGCTATGAGTTTGGTCAACTGGAACAACGGAATTGGCTGAAAATAGGGCTCAAAGTCGGCGAAATCGCCGATACGCATATGTCGCCGAGACCGCTAACTTCGCGGGAGCATAATTCCACGAGTTTTCGACCAAATTTCGAACTTTTGGTGTCATTACCATCGGGAAAAGATTCTCTATCATTTCATAAGAAAAAATAATTTTTTTTTTTTCAAAAATTGAGCGACATAGAATGACAGTTTCAGAGAGGGGCCTGAAACAGTCAAAGGGTTAATGAAAAAAATGCTATTTTCCACCCGCCAGCGATTTTCGTTTATCACATGGGGTTGGGAACCTGAGAGCCATACAAACAGGGCCCTCCTGTATTCTAAATATATGAAGAAGATATTTTTAATTCAGATCACTAATAAACAATTAGGTTGCCCATGGCTTATTAACAGCATTCTAAGATCCATTAATAAGGAACATCAATATGAAAAACAATATAGATGGGACTTAATATAACTAAAGAATTTATTAAATGCTATATGTCAGCCTTGCCAAACTAAAAAGTCCAAGCAACTGTACTATTCTAACAGATTCACTGAAACAAGAAGAGATATTCTCTTCGATCCTGGGCAACCATAAGCTGAACAAAGCCAGAAATATTTTCCTAACTAAACCAAATGAACTGCAACTCCAGCCTATTGATACAGCTAACAAGATAAATGACTTTTCAACTATAGGAGGAAGTCTCGCCAGTAAAATTCCAGGCACCAATACTCGAGCAAGTGATTACCTAAATGGAAACTTCCCAACATCCCTCTATCTTGTACCAAATGAGCTCACTGATTATTAGTTCACTAAAAAGGAAGGCGGGGTAGGGGTCGGCCTAGGAAAGGTTGGAGGGAGGGGGTAAAGGAGGTTTTGTGTGCGAGGGGCTTGGACTTCCAGCAGGCATGCGTGAGCATGTTTGATAGGAGTGAATGGAGACAAATGGTTTTTAATACTTGACTTGCTGTTGGAGTGAGCAAAGTAACATTTATGAAGGGGTTCAGGGAAACCGGCAGGCCGGACTTGAGTCCTGGAGATGGGAAGTACAGTGCCTGCACTCTGAAGGAGGGGTGTTAATGTTGCAGTTTAAAAACTGTAGTGTAAAGCACCCTTCTGGCAAGACAGTGATGGAGTGAATGATGGTGAAAGTTTTTCTTTTTCGGGCCACCCTGCCTTGGTGGGAATCGGCCAGTGTGATAATAATATAATAATAAAAACTAAATTAAGAAATCTAGCTCATGTCCCACCACTATTGTTCAAACAAGCGACTCGTGTCCTCTCACCCACCATTACATTACTCTTTAACAAATCACTAGAAACCAGCACTTTTCTGACACTACTCAAGATAGCAAGGGTTACACCAATACACAAAGGTAGTGACCTGACAGATGTAAGCAACTATAGTAAGGGACCCTCGTATCCACGGGGAATACATTTCAAAGACTTGCTGCGGATACTGAAACCATGGATAGAAGCTAACCCTATACATGTATATAAGTTTAATTAAAAAATTATGAACAGTTGATGGAGAATTTTCACTTTTTCACTGATGGGAAGCACTTCACAGCTTCTCCATCTCTGTCTCTACCGTACAGGTACACGAGTACAGTTATTATACATAGTGTAAGTTACCTAGGATAACCCAAAAAAAGCCAGACAAGGTGCTAGACTGTGCTTATAGATATAAGGCATAAGCATGACTGGCAAATAATACGTATTTCCACTTGTTCAGGAATCAGAAGTGGTAATTCTGCAAAGTGTGTAATATCTGTTGGTTCAAGAGTGGCTCTCTCTGAGACAGATGCAGACAGATACACAGACAGGTACACTGAGAGACAGACAGATAGCAGAGACAGCTAGACAGACAGATATATACAAATAGATAAATGTGACAGTGAGAACAAATAAAAAAAAACATAGGCAAAGGTTCACTGGGAGCAGTGCATGGTCAGCAATATCGAGTGACAAATGATTGCACTGTCTGACACCATACTTCAAGGAGTTTCATGTACAGTGGACCCTCTGGTTTCGTCAATCTCCTTTATCGCCAATTTCGGTTTTGGCCGACTTTTTTCATCAATTTTTGGCTTCCGTTTTTGCAAATTACCTGTTTTCGTCGATCATACGGAACCTGTTCAGTGCCCAGCGCGCAGACAAAGCTGCCTCCCACACACATTCTCATCCAGTGTAGTGTTGTTTCTCGGTGAGTGAACACATCCTGCCAGGACATACGAAACATTTCATAACAATCCATTGTTTCTGGCACTTGTTTATTGTGTGTGACTGCTAAATAAGCCACCATGGGCCCAAAGAAAGCTTCTAGTGCCAGCCCTTTGGTAAAGAATATGAGAAACATGATATAATTCAAGAAAAAGTTTGGAGGGTGGTAGTGATAGTGGTAGGGTGCCACCTTCAGTGATTCAGCGATTCTACTAACTCTTCCAATGTTGCTGGAGTTATATAGGGCTACAAAAAACACAGCCACCTCAGCTGCAGCCTTCACCACCACTATGTACGGCTTATTCTCTCAGTGGCCCTTATACACCCAACAACACAACACCAGTTGTGACATACATAATGACTTATTCATTCTAGAGGACATGTCATGTTTCTATGTTATTAATATTGTTTATTATGTTATATTAGTTGAATTGTGATAGATAAATAAGCCGTAGAGTTGATATTAATGTCATATTCTCCAACAATAAACTTGCCTCCCCTCCCTCTGTCATACACCAACAAGAATCTTCAATAAAGGTAGGTGTGATGTTAAATGTTCATTTATACATTTTATTAAAGCTTTACATTTATTTGTCATTCTTTTCTGCATGAAAATCTATATTTAAGCTGGGGAAGTGGCTAGGGAAGTGACCCCTGATAAGGACTTGGTACCTTGAGTCCTTATGGAGGGGGATTCCCCTTCCAAAGAATAACCTCTCTTCCCTCTCCCCTCCATCAATAAAGGTAAGTGTCATGTGTAATGTTTATTCTTTTGTGCATGTAAATCTATCTTTAAGGTAAAAAAAAATTTTCTGTTCATACTTCTGGGTGTCTGAAACGGATTAATTCCAGTTACATTATTTCTTATGGGGAAAATGGTTTTGGTTTTGGCCGATGGCTCTGGAACAGATTAAACACGAAAACCGAGGGTCCACTGTACTTCTAAAAACATTGCTGGAACATATAAATAATTTATATATATTTCTAGACAATAGTATGTGAACAAGGCAGATAAGAATATAAGAAATAAGGAACACTGCAGCAGGCCTACTGGCTCATGTGAGGCAGGTTCATCTCCTACCGGCTTAAGCCAATGACCCAATCTAGTCAGGTCAGGTCACATCCACTTAACGAAGGAGCACAGCATCAGACCTATTAGATGAAGGAACATGGCATCAGACCTATTATATGAACTTGTTCACCTGTCAGTGTGCTTGTGACTGTTTGATTACTATTTATGTACCTAATATTCGTGTCAGAACAAAGACTGGCTATAAAATCACAAGAGTTACTACAAATGGTAATTATCAGAATAAAAACAATGTAAATTAAAAAAATATGAGAAAAAAGGTATATCCGCAACATTTCTGCAAGCCGTAGAATTCCATCCTGCCATCAGGTGAGAGTCCAGCGCCAACTTCGTGGCCTTGTATCTCGGTAAGTACTGACCCTAAAATTCTTTTTTTTTTTTTTTTTGGAGGGGAGTACCTTACTTCACATAAAAAATTGCCCTCTTTATTTAAAAAAAAAAAAAAAAGAAACTAAAATATTCAGAGCGCTAGCAGTGAAAACGTAGATCAATGTTTGGACAGTTAATGGGTTAAAGAGCTTCATACTGTATATTCATACACTGTAATCTCAGTTACTGACCATACTACATGCCCAGGTACATAATACCTTTACATCACAATGTGGTGAGAAGTGAGCATATGTAGAGTTAGATACAGTGTGAGCAGATAAGAGTAATTAAGAGAGAGAGGAAGACAGTTCAGCTGCTTCTCACCACTACACAAACATCTCCCACCTCATTCCTCCCACACCCTACACTCACTCACAGTAGTAAAGTGGTGGGCACATGTAAATAATACGTATTGTGCTAAATACATTAGAATAATGATTAGATAAAGGGTGGTAGTGAACTGGAGTGAATGAGAAAGACTCCAGCTGGTGTCTGCCTTTACATTTTTGCACTATACTGAACTGTATTGTAGTTTCATTCTCTCTAATATGTACCATATTTCATGGCTTATAAGACTTGTTTTAGTTTCAATGACTCGACATAGAATGTAACCCCAGACTTATAGCTCCCATCACTGACCTTCAGTTGTAGGACACAGGGTGTTTTTTTTGAGACATTTTATGGAAAAAATGCATCTAATAAGCCGTGAAATACGGTATACACCCTCTCCTCACTTAGTGACGTACTCGTTTACCGACAACTCAGACCAGTATGCATACCTAAATAATGTATTAGAGCTGATTTCATCTATTCTCTTTATTTCAATATACAGTACACTACTGTATAAACATTTAAAAATATACCAGAAATGTTATAAATGGTGCAAAGGTGACACTAAAACAATATGAAAGATGGTTGACAAAAATCCACTACCATTATAGTATGCTCCTCATTTAGCGATGAATTCGTTTGCCGACGAGTTCTAAGGCACGGAACTCCGTTGTTAAGTGAGGAGAGGCTGTATATTAATTAAACAATGTATCATGCCATTTTAATACAATACTGAGTAAATATTCTTAGCTGAAAAATATGAATAAGGAGAATATTATGTCTGGAACACATTTACAATTATAATATGGGTGTCTATGCAAACACTTTACTGACAAACAATTTCCAGAAACACATTAACACTAAGTTTGGGCCCTATTGTACTGTAACCATTTTTTTCAAATTGCACACACAATGAAATGAAACACAAAATTACATGAATGACAACACGTGTGAAACTAGCTGCCCAAACCGGACAGGTTCCTATGAGTGAGGCATTTTCCATTATTCACTGAACTATTCCTAGAACTGTGCTCTTAAAGTGTCAAAATGTAGTAGTCACAGAAATTTATCTAATGAACCACTACAATAACACAACAGCAGCACAGGAGGCAGCTGAAGAGAGAGGCATCATATGACTAATACTGTCAACCAGTAACATTGGGCACTTTTACATACTGGCAGATTAAGTACCACATGTCCTAGAATGTACATAGGTGCTCAAGCCTAGAGCAAAACTAATTTAACTATCAGAAATACTAGCTGATTTCCACTAAGGTCAAAAGTCCAAGTCATGCAGCTAACAATGAAGTACCTCTCCTAAGTAATACAGTGGAACCTCAAATATCGAACTTTCTTCGGTCCAGAAGGCTGTTCGAGTGCCTTTACCAAATGAATTTATTCCCATCAGGAATAATGTAAATTAGATTAGTCCATTTCAGACCCTCAAAAATACACTTATAAAAATACACTTACATAATTGGTCGTGTTGGGAGCAGTTCGATTTTTGAGGTTCCACTGTATAATAAACTTACTTGAATCTAGTATGATGACCATCCATATACTACACAGCAGAGACCAGAGGCATTAAGTGTAGTCTCTTTGAGGCATGAGGTGCATTCTTGTTTTTGGATGTCTATCATATACCTGCAAAAATGAAAATATACATAAACAAGTAGACACACGAAAGGCCCCTCGATGCTAGTGATCGTGTGCTCCCAAGTTTTGAATACCTCGCTGAGTTAGCAGAAAGTGTGAAGCAGCACGAGATGGAGGGGAGTTTACCTGGAGTTTACCTGGAGAGAGTTCCGGGGGTCAACGCCCCCGTGGCCCGGTCTGTGACCAGGCCTCCTGGTGGATCAGAGCCTGATCAACCAGGCTGTTACTGCTGGCTGCACGCAATCCAATGTACGAGCCACACAGGCAAGAGGCAATTCCTGAATGAGGTGCAATGGGAAAAAGAACTAGAGGGAAAGACAGTAGTATATGAAATGATGGAACATGTGACCACAAAATGCAGGGAGGCAGAGGAGAAGTTAGCACAAAGGGAGCAACAGAAACAATGGGAAAACCAGTTTGAGCCCGTGGTTTACTTGGAGGTGTAGCAAGACCAAAGCCAAGTGTGCTAGAGCATGGAAAAAATATAGAAGGCAAAAGACTCAGGAAAATAAGGAGATGACTGAAGAGCCAGAAATAAATATGCATGGATAAGGATAGGCCCAGCAGCAATATGAGAATGACATAGCATCAAAACCCAAAGCTGACCCAAAATTGTTATATAGCTGCACCAGCAGTAAAGGACCAGGTAATCAGGCTGAGGAAGGAGGAGGGAGTTCACAAGGAGTGACCAGGAAGTATGTGATGAGCTCAACATAAGATTTAGGGAGGTATTCACAGTGGAGACAGAAAAACCTTAAAGTAAACTGAGGTGGTAAGGGTACACCAGCAAGTGCTGGACACACTGAACACAACTGAGAAAGAGGTGAAGACACTGCTAGGTTAATTAGATACTGTGAAGGCAGTAGGCCCAGATAACATCTCTCCATGGGCCTTGAGAGCGGGACCAGACGCACTGTGTGCCGTTAACAATAATCTTCAATAAATCTATCGGCAAAGGGCAACTGCCTGAGGTGTGGAAGACAGCAAATGTAGTCCCAATATTTAAGAAAAGGAAACAGACAGGCAGCATTAAATTACAGACCAGTGCCATTGACATGTATAGTACGTAAAGTTGCAGAGAAGATTATCAGGAGATGTGGTGGATTTATACATGACAACCTGCATGGCTTCAGGGATGAGAATCCTGTGTCATGAACCTGCTGGAGTTTCACGATAAGGTAACAGAGGTAAGACAGGAGAGAGAGGGATGGGCAGAATGCATCTTCTTGGATTGTAAGACAGTTTTCAACACAGTAACACTGGTTCAAAAGCTAGGGAAGAAAGCAGGAGTACCTGCCAGGAAGGAAACAATGATTGCTGGTACGTGACGAGGTGTTAGAGTGGATACATGCGTTGAATGGGATTCCACAGGGGACAGTCCTAGGTCCAGTGCTGTTTCTTGTATGTGTATATGTGAATGATATGATGGAAGGGATAGATTCAGAGGTGTCCCTGTTTACAGACAATGTGTAACTTACGAGATAACAAGTAGATGAGGATTAGATAAGACTACAAGGGGATCTGGACAAGCTGCAAATAAGGTCTGACAAATGGCTCCTGGAGTTTAACCCCACCAAGTGCAAAGACAAGAAAAGGAATCTAGGGATGAACATCAAACTAAGCACATATAATGAGGCACACATCAGCCAAATAACTGATGCAGCCTACAGGTGCCTGGCAAATCTAAGAAGAGCGTTTCAACATCTAAGCAACGAGTCATTAATGGCACTGTACACTGTGTACATCAGGCCCATATTGGGGCATGCAGCACTAGTATGGAACCCACACCTGGTCAAACATGTCAAGAAACTGGAGAAAGTGCAAAAGTTTGCGACAAGACTAGTCTAGCAACTAAGGGGTATGTCCTATTAGGAGAGGTTAAGGGAACTCAACCTGATGACACTTCAGGACAGAAGGGATGGGAGAGACATGATAACTTATAAAATATTGAAAGGAATTGACAAGATGCACAGGGCCAGAATGTTTTAGAGATGGGCCAGAATGTTTTAGAGATGGGACACAACTGGAAGTTGAAAATGTGGTTGAGTCATAAGTGTTAGGAAGCATTTCTTCGGCTTTAGAGCTGTCAGGAAGTGGAGCAATCTGGAGAGTGAAGTGGTGGAGCCAGGATGCATACATAGCTTTATGAAGAGGTATGATAGGCTCTTGAAGTAGTGCACTGTCACTTTTTGTGGTGGTGAGGGTGAAACCCAGCACTGTGTCACTGTTGTTGTGGTGGTGAGGGTGTCATCCCAGAATGAGTCACTGGTTGATTGTGGTGGTGAGGGTGTCATCATCACAGTGTTCAACTGTTGTGTAGGAGTGTGGTGACACCAGCACTGTTGTCACATGTTGCCCCCCCCCCACCCCCCCCCCCCCCCCCTCCCCCCCCCCCCCCCATACTCCCCCCCCCCCCCCACTTTTGGTAGTGATGGCGTCACCAGCACTGTGTCTCTTGTTTGGTGGGTGACAGTATCACCAGCAGTGTCACTGCTGTTGTGGTAGTGATGGTGTCACCCAGCACTGCCACTGTTGTAGTGGTAGTGATGGTGTCACCAGCACTGCACCATGTTGTGGTTAGTGATAGGTTGTCCGCACTCTGTTACTGTTGTGGCAGTGATGTGGTGTCACACAGCACTGTCACCTGTTCATGGAAGTGCGAGGTACCAGCACTGTCATGAATTGTATGGTAGTGGACATTGTCGCCCAGCACTGTGTCACTGTTATGGTAGTGATGATGTCACCCAGCACTGTCACCGTTGTTGTGGTGGTGAAGGTGTCACCCAGCACTGTCACTGTTGTTGTGGTAGTGATGGTGTCACCCAGCACTGTGTCACTGTTTGTGTCTTGTAGTGATGGTGTCTCCTAGCACTGTACATTTTGTTGTGGTGGTTGAAGGTGTCAACCAGCACTGTGTCATGTGTTGTGGTCGTGATTGTGTCACCCAAGCCCACGGTGTCATGTTTGATGTGGTAGTGATGGTGTCACCCAGCACTGTCACTGTTGTTGTGGTAGTGATGGTGTCACCCAGCACTGTCACTGTTGTTGTGGTAGTGATGGTGTCACCCAGCACTGTCACTGTTGTTGTGGTAGTGATGGTGTTCACCCAGCCCTGTTGTCACTGTTGTGTCACCCAGCCTGTCATGTTGTTTGTGGTAGTGATGGTGTCACCCAGCTCTGTGTCATGTGTTGTGGTAGTGATGGTTGTTCACCCGCACTGTGTCATGTTGGTGTCACCCAGCACTGTCATGTTGTTAGTTGGAATAGTGATGGTGTCACCCCGCACTGTGTCACTGTTTGTTGTGGTAGTGATGGTGTCACCAGCACTGTCAACTGGTTGTTGTGGTAGTGATGGTGTCACCAGCAACTGTCACTGTTGGTGTGGTAGTGCTGGTGGACCCAGGCAATGTCACTGTTGTTGTGGTAGTGATGGTGTCACCCAGCACTGTGTCACTGTTGTTGTGGTAGTGATGGTGTCACCAGCACATTCACTGTTGTTGTTGGTAGTGATGGTGTTCACCAGGCACTGGTCATGTTGTTTGTTGGGGTGATGGTGTCCCCAGCAGTCACTGTTGTGGTGGTTGTGATGGTGTCACCCGCAGTCATGTTGTAGGTAGTGATGGCGTCACCAAGCATGTCACTGTGTTGTGTGTGATGGTGTCACCAGCCTGTGTTCATGTTGTTGTTGTAGTGATGAGTCACCCAGCAGTCACTGTGTTGTGGTAGTGATGGTGTCACCCAGACACTGTGTCAATGTTGTTTGGTTAGCGATGGTTGCACAGGCACGGTGTCACTGGTGTTGTGGTAGTGATGGTGTCACCCAGCACTGTGTCATTGTTGTTGTGGTAGTGATGGTGTCACCCAGCACTGTGTCACTGTTGTTGTGGTAGCGATTGGTGTACCCGCACTGTGTCACTGTTGTTGTGTAGTGATGGTGTCCACCCAGGCACAGTGTCTTGTTGTTGTGGTAGTGAGGGAGTCACCGCACTGTGTCATGTTGTTGTGGTATGATGGTGTCACAGCACTGTCATTGTTGTAGTGGTAGTGATGGTGTCCCCCAGCACTGTGTCACTGTTGTTGTGGTAGTGATGGTGTCACCCAGCACTGTGTCACTGTTGTTGTGGTAGTGATGGTGTCACCCAGCACTGTGTCACTGTTGTTGTGGTAGTGATGGTGTCACCCAGCACTGTGTCACTGTTGTTGTGGTGGTGATGGTGTCGCCCAGCACTGTGTCACTGTTGTTGTGGTGGTGATGGTGTCGCCCAGCACTGTGTCACTGTTGTTGTGGTGGTGATGGTGTCGCCCAGCACTGTCACTGTTGTTGCAGTAGTGATGGTATCACCCAGCACTGTCACTGCTGTTGTGGTAGAGATGGTGTCACCCAGCACTGTGTCACTGTTGTTGTGGTAGTGATGGTGTCACCCAGCACTGTGTCACTGCTTTTGTGGTAGTGATGTTCGTCGCCAGCACTGTGTCTGTTGTTGTGGGTAGCGATGGTGTGCCCAGCACAGTGTCACGTTGTAGTGGTAGTGGTCGATTGGTTTGTCGCAGCATGGTCACTGTTGTTGCAGTAGTGATGGTGTCACCAGCACTGTCATGTTGTTGTGGTAGCGATGGTGTCACCCAGCACTGTGTCACTGTTGTTGTGGTAGTGATGGTGTCACCCAGCACTGTGTCACTGTTGTTGTGGTAGTGATGGTGTCACCCAGCACTGTGTCACTGTTGTTGTGGTAGTGATGGTGTCACCCAGCACTGTGTCACTGTTGTTGTGGTAGTGATGGTGTCACCCAGCACTGTCACTGTTGTTGTGGTAATGATGGTGTCACCCAGCACTGTCACTGTTGTTGTGGTAGTGATGGTGTCACCCAGCACTGTCACTGTTGTTGTGGTAGTGCTGTCACCCAGCACTGTGTCACTGTTGTTGTGGTAGTGATGGTGTCACCCAGCACTGTCATGTTGTGTGTGGTAGTGCATGGTGTCTCCCAGCAGTGTCACTGTTGCTGTGGTAGTGATGGTGTCACCCAGCACTGTCACTGTTGTTGTGGTAGTGATGGTGTCGCCCAGCACTGTGTCACTGTTGTGGTAGCGATGGTGTCACCCAGCACTGTGTCACTGTTGTTGTGGTAGTGATGGTGTCGCCCAGCACTGTCACTGCAGTAGTGATGGTGTCGCCCAGCACTGTCACTGCAGTAGTGATGGTGTCGCCCAGCACTGTCACTGTTGTTGCAGTAGTGATGGTGTCACCCAGCACTGTCACTGTTGTTGTGGTAGCGATGGTGTCACCCAGCTCTGTGTCACTGTTGTTGTGGTTAGTGGTGTTCACAGCACTGTCACTGTTGTTGTGGAGTGACGGTGTTTCCAAAACCCAGCACTGTGTCACTGTTGTTGTGGTAGTGATGGTGTCACCCAGCACTGTGTCACTGTTGTTGTGGTAGTGATGGTGTCACCCAGCACTGTGTCACTGTTGTGGTAGTGATGGTGTCACCCAGCACTGTGTCACTGTTGTGGTAGTGATGGTGTCACCCAGCACTGTGTCACTGTTGTGAGGTAGTGGATGGGTGTCACCCAGCACTGTTTGTCCATGTAGTTGAGGTAGTGCTGGTGTCACCCAGCACTGTGTCACTGTTGTTGTGGTAGTGATGGTGTCACCCAGCACTGTGTCACTGTTGTTGTGGTAGTGATGGTGTCACCCAGCACTGTGTCACTGTTGTTGTGGTAGTGATGGTGTCACCAGCACTGTGTCACTGTTTGGTGTGTTAGTGATGGTGTCACCCAGCACTGTGTCACTGTTGTTGTGGTAGTGATGGTGTCACCCAGCAGTGTGTCACTGTTGTTGTGGTAGTGGTGTCACCCAGCAGTGTGTCACTGTTGTTGTGGTAGTGGTGTCACCCAGCAGTGTGTCACTGTTGTTGTGGTAGTGATAGTGTCACCCAGCAGTGTCACTGTTGTTGTGGTAGTGATGGTGTCACCCAGCAGTGTCACTGTTGTTGTGGTAGTGATGGTGTCACCCAGCACTGTCACTGTTGTTGTGGTAGTGATGGTGTCACCCAGCACTGTCCACTGTTGTTGGTTAGTGTGGATGTCACCAGCATGTCCCTGTTGTTGTTGTAGTGATGGTGTCACCCAGCACTGTCATGTGTTGTGGTTAGTGATGGTGTCACCCAGCCTGTCCATGTTGTTGTTGGGTAGTGATGGTGGTCACCCAGCAGTGTCACTGTTGTTGTGGTAGTGATGGTGTCACCCAGCAGTGTCATTGTTGTTGTGGTAGTGATGGTGTCACCCAGCACTGTCACTGTTGTTGTGGTAGTGATGGTGTCACCCAGCAGTGTCACTGTTGTTGTGGTAGTGATGGGTGTCTACAGCACTGTACTGTTGTTGTGGTAGTGATGGTGTCACCCAGCACTGTGTCACTGTTGTTGTGGTAGTGATGGTGTCACCCAGCAGTGTCACTGGTAAACTTCATCTCATTATTATCACAAACAGTATCTGGGATACATGATAAATTCAAATAATTATTTGCTGCGGTGAGGGATAAGCAAGTGACATTTTTATTGTAACCCAAATATTGAAGAATGATCAGGAAAAACAATATTCACCCACTTTACTCACTAAAAATCACTACCAAGCAAGTTGTGATGAATGTTATGAAACCGACAAGTTGACGAATTGGACACTTTGACAAAAACAAGGCATCTTTATTGAGAAACGTTTCGCACACAGTGGCTTCATCAAGTCCAAATACAAAGTAGAAGTGGGTAAGGAGAGTAGAAGTTTGAGGTAATCAGTCCCTCAACCTGGATTCGATGTGTTCAGTCCATCACTCTTGTAGGAAGTGCACTTCCTACAAGAGTGATGGACTGATGAAGCCACTGTGTGGCGAAACGTTTCTTTAATAAAGATTCCCATGTGTTGCATAAGTGTCTCAATTCTTCACAAGCACTGTTACTGTTATCCACCATAAATCACTGTTATCCACCATAAATCAGCTATAAATCATTGTTACCATAAATCAATGACCATTAAATCACTTACGATGAATCACTCATCATAAATCACTGTTAATCATGAATCAGTCACCATAAAAAAATCAGTTACTCTGCATAAATCACTGTTGCTCACCATAATTCAGTGTCACCATAATCAGTTACCATAAGTCACTGTTACTCGCCATAAATCACTGTAACTCATAAATCACTGTAACTCATCATAAATCACTAACTCATCATAAATCACTGTAACTCATCATAAATCACTAACTCACCATAAATCACTGTAACTCACCATAAATCACTGTAACTCACCATAAATTACTGTAACTCACCATAAATCACTGTAACTCATCATAAATCACTGTAACTCACCATAAATCGCTAACTCACCATAAATCACTGTAACTCACCATAAATCACTGTAACTCACCATAAATCACTGTAACTCACCATAAATCACTAACTCACCATAAATCACTGTAACTCACCATAAATCACTGTAACTCACCATAAATCACTAACTCACCATAAATCACTGTAACTCACCATAAATCACTGTAACTCACCATAAATCACTAACTCACCATAAATCACTGTAACTCACCATAAATCACTGGTCACTAATCAACATTAAGATGCAACATAAGCAGCTGGTACTGTACCCAGCAAGATAAGCCGATAATTAAAGCTGAGAGGACAGCCAGGCCGCCAGGTAGGCCTCAGGACTTGCCCAGCAGGTAAATGCCTAGGCCTACAAGGAGTAAAGATAATTTCTGAGCCGGGAAGATGGTTAGCAGTCTTGATGCAGCTCTCAATATTGACTCTCAGCTTCCACTCAGTTATTAAGTGTTGCTGCTGCCTTCAACTCTCACTCTCGCACTCTCAACACTCGAACTTTCACTGTAATTCACCGTTAACGAACGCTAGGGAAGCACATTAACGAATATTTTAAGTTTAGTGTTGAGAATGTGTCTCCTTGTTGTGTTTAGGCTGGACGCTGGAGGTGAACTGAGCGGCCAGAGTGACCGATGTGCGGAGCACAGCCTGGCCAGAGTGACCGATGTGCGGAGTCTGGCCTGAGTGACCGATGTGTGGAGCCTGGCCTGGCCAGAGTGACTGATGTTTGGAGCCTGGCCTGGCCAGAGTGACTGATGTGTGGAGCCTGTCCTGGCCAGAGTGACTGATGTGTGGAGCCTGGCCTGGCCAGAGTGACCGATGTGCGGAGTCTGGCCTGAGTGACCGATGTGTGGAGCCTGGCCTGGCCAGTGACCGATGTGTGGAGCACAGCTTGGCCAGAGTGATCGATGTGCGGAGTCTGGCCAGAGTGACTGATGTGTGGAGCCTGGCCTGGCCAGTGACCGATGTGTGGAGCACAGCTTGGCCAGAGTGATCGATGTGTGGAACCTGTCCTGGCCAGTGACCGATGTGTGGAGCACAGAGTAGCCAGTGACCGAAGTGTGGAGCACAGCCTAGCTGGAGTGATCCAAGTATGGAGCACCACCTGGCCAGAGTGACCGAAGTGTGGAGCACAACCTGACCAGTGACCAATGTGTGGAGCACAGCCTGGCTATAGTGACCGAAGTGTGGAGCACAGCCTGGCTATAGTGACCGAAGTGTGGAGCACAGCTTGGCTAGAGTGACCGAAGTGTGGAGCACAACCTGGCCAGTGACCGATGTGTGGAGCCTGGCCTGGCCAGAGTGACCGGTGTGTGGAGCCTGGCCTGGCCAGTGACCGATGTGTGGAGCCTGGCCTGGCCAGAGTGACCGATGTGTGGATCCTGGCCTGGCCAGTGACCGATGTGTAGAGCCTGGCCTGGCCAGAGTGACCGACGTATGGAACCTGGTCTGGCCAGAGTGACATGTGTGGAGCACAGCCTGGCCAGAGTGACCGATGTATGGAGCACAGCCTGGCTAGAGTGACCGAAGTGTGGAGCACATTACATTTTGCCATCGAAGTGGATAGTTTATTGTGCGTCCCATATCCATCCTGTGGACGGTAGCGCAAGAGCATATGGATACACAAAAGGCCAGGAACTAGGCCCCGAAAGGGCTAACAAGTGTACATATGGATTTATATCTACATATCTACAGTTTACTTATTTCTTATAAGCAAATTTAGGAAATTTGCTTAGTATATCTGGTACCTTATTTTCATTAATAAGATATCTTGACATGTTACATGGGTTATTATACTGTCTGTCTCTGTATTCCTCAATAAGTGGACAATTAAGCACACAGTGTTCAAGACAGTGACCATATAAACCATACCACGGGTGGGGATAGGACCCGCGATCTGAAAGTCAAAACTCCAGACCGTCGGTCTGGAATTTTGTGACTCTCAGATCGCGGGTTCTCCGGCTAGTTTGTGTGGAGCACTGCCTATACCTCTCAGACCAATCACGTCAGGTATAGGCAGTGCTCCATACAAACTAACCGGAGTTCTTGCCAAACATCTTTCCTGCCTTCTGGGGACCATCAGCCCCGCTCATCTTAAACACTCAGGCGACCTTCTCAACCGCATCCGAAACCTCTCCATCCGTAACAAAAAACTAAGTAGTTTGGACGTGACTTCCCTTTTCACAAAAGTACCTACCACTAAAGCCATCGAGGTACTACGACGCAAAGTCAATCAGGACCTTAATCTTCCTCTACCTCCCGGAGATTTTGTTGACTTGATTGAACTCTGTGTTAATTTCAACTGTTTTTCTTTCAATAACAAGCTCTACAAACAAACCTACGGCATGGGAATGGGGTCCCCCATCAGTGCCGTCCTAGTCAACTTATACATGGAACACCTAGAGTCCGAACACTTCGCCAACATCATCCCTTCAAGCGTCACTTGGTTACGTTACGTGGACGACGTCCTCGTAATAACTCCCAAACGTTTTGATGTACGGAATCTTCAGGCAAGGCTCAACGCAGTTGAACCGGCGATCCAGTTTACACAAGAAGAAGAGTCCAATGACAAGCTACCTTTCCTCGATGTCCTCATTCACAAAGAAGACAACAACCTAAGATTTCAAGTTTATCAGAAACCTACCAATAAAAATTATCTCACACATTTCTATTCCAGTCAAGATACTAAGACCAAAAGAGGCATCATCATCGGGTTTTTCCTAAGAGCGTTCCGAATTTGTAGTCCTGAGTTTCTTGACGAGGAATGTACATACATTCACCAAACCTTCACTGAGTTACATTTTTCCTTCCTTTTTCATCAAAGATTGCAAGAAAAGAGCTCTTCAGATCATTAATTCTCCACGCACCAACACCACTCCCAACAAAGTTATAATTCTTCCCAAAAGCCAGGTTGCACTGAATGTTTCTAAAGTACTTTCACAAGCTAACATCAGAGTCGTATCGCTTCCAGCACTTCAATAAAGGATCTGACCAGTACAAAATCAAGGCACCACGAACCAGTCAATGCAGGGGTTTACACTATTCCCTGTGGAGGCTGCGACAAGATTTATGTAGGTGAAACAGCAAGAAACCTCGACACCCGCCTGAATGAACACATTTACACCTGTAGGAACGATAACTTGAACAACGCCTGTGTACAACACTGAAATTCCACCAATCATCTCATGAAATTCAGAGACGCCCAATTAGTGATTAAAGAAACTAATTTCCACAGACGCAAGTGCCTCGAGTCAGCACTAATCGCTGTTTCGAATACAATTAAACAAAACAAAGGCAATTGTGCAACATCTGGTAATCTTTATTGTAGACGCTTCGCCATCCAGTGGCTTTATCAATATAGATTCTTGGACATAATTAGAAAATAGAAGAACTATATACAAAAGATGAGGTAATCAGTCCCTCAGCCTTGGAGGTGGTGGTAAGTAAGACACATAGGCAACAGTTAGGCAGCTTTATTCCGAAACGTTTCGCCTACACAGTAGGCTTCTTCAGTCGAATACAGAAAGTAGGCAGGAAAAGTAGAGATGTGAAGACGATGTAATCAGTCCATCACCCTTAAAGTCGTAGATTTGAGGTTGTCAGTCCCTCAGCCTGGAGAAGTTCAGTTCCATAGTCAGGAACTATCTGAAGATCAAGCGAACGAACGAACGAAAGTTCAGGTAAGATCCCAAATGGGATGAGCGGGGAAGACGGGACAGACGAAGAATAGTGCTGGAGAGGAGTATTCTTAGTCGTAGAAATAGAGCCAGGGCTTAACCCAGCAGCGAAGGCGATCGTGGGACAGATATTGAGAAGAGAAATTCAGGCTCTTCTGTTAGGACTCCAGTGGGGTGAGCGAGGAGGAAGGGACATGCGACGTTTAGGGCTAGAGAGGAGTGTAGAACTGGGCCATGTCTTAACCCAAAAGCTAAGGCGAACGTGGGTCAGAGAATGGTGCCTGTCATAGAAGATACCTGTCAGTGAATCCACGGTTATTTGTAAATAGGGTTTGTTTACCTGGAGTTTACCTGGAGAGAGTTCCGGGGGTCAACGCCCCCGCGGCCCGGTCTGAGACCAGGCCTCCTGGTGGATCACAGCCTGATCAACCAGGCTGTTGCTGCTGGCTGCACGCAAACCAACATACGAGCTACAGCCCGGCTGATCCGGAACTGACTTTAGGTGCTTGTCCAGTGCCAGCTTGAAGACTGCCAGGGGTCTTTTGGAAATCCCCCTTATGTGTGCGGGAGGCAGTTGAACAGTCTGGGGCCCCCTGACACTTATTGTATGGTCTCTTAACGTGCTAGTGACACCCTGCTTTTCATTGGGGGGATGGTGCATCGTCTGCCAAGTCTTTTGCTTTCGTAATGAGTGATTTTCGTGTGCAAGTTCGGTACTAGTCCCTCTAGGATTTTCCAGGTGTATATATCATGTATCTCTCCCCCCTGCGTTCCAGGGAATACAGGTTTGGGAACCTCAAGCGCTCCCAATAATTGAGGTGTTTTATCTCCGTTATGCGTTTCCGTGAAAGTTCTCTGTACATTTTCTAGGTTCGGCATTTCACCTGCCTTGAAAGGTGGGTGTTAGTGTGCAGCAATATTCCAGCCTAGATAGAACAAGTGACCTGAAAAGTGTCATCATGGGCTTGGCCCCTCCCTAGTTTTGAAGGTTCTCATTTCCATCCTGTCATTTTTCTAGCAGATGCGATTGATACAATGTTATTTGGGCCTTGAAGGTGAGATCCTCCGATGATCACTCCCAGGTCTTTGCGTTGGTGTTTCGCTCTATTTTGTGGCCAGAATTTGTTTTGTACTCTGATGACGATTTAATTTCCTCATGTTTTCATATCTGAGTAATTGAAATTTCTCATCGTTGAACTTCATATTGTTTTCTGCAGCCCACTGAAAGATTTGGTTGATGTCTGCCTGGAGCTTTGCAGTGTCTGCAATGGAAGACACTGTCATGCAGATTCGGGTGTCATCTGCAAAGGAAGACACGGTGTGGCATATCTGAGTAATTGAAATTTCTCATCGTTGAACTTCATTTTGTTTTCTGCAGCCCCCTGAAAGATTTGGTTGATGTTGCCTGGAGTTTTTGCAGTGCCCCTGCAATGGAAGAAAACTGTCATGAGATTCGGGTGTCATTTTAAAGGAAAAACCCGGGGGCCTGTGGCTGAACCCTTGCCCTATCCCGGGAACTTTTTCCGGTAAACTCCGGGGTAAAAAAAACCCCTATTTAAAAATAACCGTGGATTCACTGCCCGGTTTTTCCTATGACAGGCACCAAATTCTCTGCCCCAGGGTTCCCCCAAAGCTTTTGGGTTAAGACAGGGCCCCGGGTTTTTACACTCCTTTTTTCCCCAAAACGTCGCATTCCCTTCCCCCTCGTCACCCCCTGGAGCCCTAAAAAAAAAGAGCTGAATTTCTCTTCTCAATATCGGCCCACGATCCCTTTTCGCTGCGGGGTTTAAAAGCCCTGGCTCTTTTTCTACCCTAAAAAATATCCTCCCCCACACAATTTTTTCGCCCGCCCCCTTTTCCCCCTCACCCCTTTTGGGATCTTACCGGGTTTTTTCTTGTTCGTTCCCTTGATCTTAGTATTTCCCTGACTA